CAGACTGGGGGCCTCGTGGGCCCGGACTCCCTTCAGGATGGGATGCTGCCCTCCTAAGTTTATCTGAGCGTGGCTCTAATCCATCCCTTTCCACCAAACTGAGTAAGCGGCGGGGGCCTCGTGTCATATCACCAGGGGATAAATCAGGAGCCCCAACAGGTGGTTCCCTTCTCCCTGGAAGCCTTGGTCTTTCTTCTGGGCTCTTTTCCTCTTTTCCAGGACCTCTTGCTCTCTCCTCTACACTAGGAACTCGTTCTCCTCCCAGAGGCCGTTCCTCAAAGCCCCAGCGTTGACGGTCATACCCTCTCCGTTCTTTGGCCAGCAAGGTCTGCAAATAGATCATACGAAAACGCTCCCGATTGAGTTCCCGTTCCAGTCTACGAACTGATGCACGACATCGCTCTAGCTCTTGCTCCATATCCCGTACTGTGCGCAACTCCATATGGGGTGGCTCTGCATCTGGAAACTGCGCCCGCCACGCCTCTGCAAAACCTGCGGGCTCCAGCATCCTGCTCTGTGGCCCCAAAACCAACAGGGATTTAAACAAGGGAGACTCAGCATTTGGGTGCAAACATGACGGGACAATTACCCCAAAACCACCTATCAGTCCTGTAGGAAAACGTGTCCAATGTCCTGATGGTCTTAGTCTCTATATCTGAGATAGGAGGAATGTCCCTTTGTAAGAGGGGTCTTTGAGTATATTGGTATGATTCAAGTACCCAGGACTTGGCTATACATAGTCTCTATACTCCAGGCACACTTTTTTGGTGGACCTCGATTTATGCATGTTCCTTGTATTAATCAAACAGGTCACTGTCTCCATATCTGGGATATTATAGTGTCTCTCTTTCTCCATGTGCCGGATATTAAAGGGTCTCTGTCTCCATACCGGGATGACTATAGACATCCATTCCTGATTTATAACAGGGTCTCTCTCTCTGTATGGAGCTCGGTAATGCTCTGTTCTGGGTACCCCGTGCTCCCCACACTGTGCCTCCCTCTCTCCGGGGCGTCTCGCCTCCCCACGCGGTGTCCCTGGCTCTCTCTCTCTCTCGGCTGTCTCGCAGCTCCCTGTTCCGGGGGCTCTCTCCTGTGTTATTCTCGGCCTCTCTATTGTGTGTCAGTCCGTGCTGAGTGTGCTGTGGGCGGACACAGGCCGGCTCCTCCCCTCTGTGTGTGTCACTCTGTTTTGTGTAGTGTTAGGTGTGTGTGCAGTGACACTGGCAGGGAGCTGGCACTGTGTGAGTATGAGCAGACACTCCTACAATATAAAATACACTGTGTGTGTAATAATATGTATGTATAGGGTCCACGGGCAGCAATATACTGCCCTCTATACACACACTGTGCTCATACGGTATTAAAATGACTGGCAACATTAACACTATACCTGCCATACTGCCATACAGTACTGTTAACCTGGCACTCAAATACTGTATTATAAATATTAACATTATTAGTACAATTATTAATTATTATTAATAAAATGATTATAGTTATTGTTATTATTTGTAGTAGTATTACTAGTATTGTAGTTATTTTCATTTATTTAGAGCCCACTAATTCCAAAGCATTAAATTGGGCAGATATCCCCAATAACCATACAGTAGGTATTCGGAGTCCAGCCTGCAAGCTTACAATCTATTTTTGCAGCACTGTGTACATGACGTTTTATTTTCCAGCTCAATATGCAAATATCTGTGCAGATTGTGTCTAATTGATCATTTTATAGTTTGTTTTTTTGTGGATTTATTTTTTTCGTTGTTTTTCCCAATTAAGAAGCTGGGGAGGGAATAAGCATTAAAAACCAAGCTACTGATAGTGGAAAACTAGTTGTATTACAATACAATACAACTATTTCAACAGAATGCATGTTAATTACAAGTCCCCACTGTAATGACGAGCGGCTCACAATATTTGTAATTACATTGCTTTCAAGAGTTGATCTGATAGCTGTAATCTTGGGGACAGTTAATATATGTTTGAGGAACACTATATTTAACTATATATAAACAATTAATTACAATGTGACTTTCACCACCCAAAGACATTTTGAGATTGTTACTGGAGTTTTTGCACGGATATAGTATAAATACCACTATATCCCTTTATTTAAAAAAAAAAAAAAAAAAATGTTTCCTTGTCCATAGTTAACAATCTCCTATAAAACGTGTTTATTGCTGCATTATACTGATAGTGTGTCAGTAACGTTTTACAATAACAGGGTAATTCAGTAACGTTATAATTCAAAGTGAATTTCAAATTTAAGGCCCAGGTATCTGAATTTATATAATGTTTCAAGTCCGGTTCAATATTTACTTTGAATTTGAAATTCACTTTAAATTTTCCTCCTAGTGATTAACCCTATAAAACTTGAAGGGTTATTCCTTAAAGGACCACTATAGGCAACCAGACCACTTCAGCTCAGTTGAAGACATTAGGGTTAATCCAGCCTCTAGTGGCTGTCTCACTGACAGCCGCTACAGGTGCTTCCGTGCGTCTCACTGTGATTTTCACAATGAGAAGACGCGAGCGTCCATATGAAAGCATTGAGAATGCTTTCCTATGGACTGACTGAATGCGTGCGTGGCTCTTGCCGCTCATGTGCATGCGCATTCAGCCGATGACGTCGGAAGGAGGAGGAGAGTCCCCAGCACAGAGGGAGCCCGGCGCTAGATAAAGGTAAGTATTTAACCCCTTCCTCCCCCTTAAGCCCGGCAGGAGGGGGACCATGAGGGTGGGGGGTACCTATTAATACTATAGTGCCAGGAAAACAAGTTTGTTTTCCTGGCACTATAGTGGTCCTTTAAAGTGAGAATTTGAAGTTAATTCGAAGTGAATTCCAAATTTAAGGTTAAAATAGCCCAACTGGAAATATTCTCTAAGTCAGACAGCTATGTATTCAGTTTGGCTACTCTGTCATTCACTTAGAATTTTCACTTTAGCAAACAATACTGATATACATTTACAAAGAATGACATAGAGCTACTTGTCATTGCGTTCTCTCACGACACACATGCCCAGCACTGTTAATTTTGGAGGCATTTTTCAATATAGTTTTAGTCATAGTCTTTTGACTAAAAAGACATTTTAGTTTTTAGTCGTATTTTAGTCATCTGAAGTGTTTTAGTCTAGTTTTAGTCGACTAAATCTTAACAGCTGTAAGTCGACAAAAATCGGACTAAAATTGTTAGTCAACAAAATTAACACTGATGCCCAGTTTACTGAGATTGGCTCACAGTTACATATTAAATGGGGGCCTTTTCAATGCTCGGATGGTATATGGTGGATATGCAGTGACATAATAGACCTGGGCTTTGCACATGCCCAGTGTAGTCAGCATCAGACAATGAAATGCTAAGCATGGCACATGCTCAGTACCTGAAGCTTGTAGAATGACTGTCATGCATCAATATCATGTTGTTAGATTTTCCCCAGTAGCCAGTTATATGCTTCATCATTATTGTTCAGTACGCAAGGCTGGATTTTCAGAGATATTTCATGTGTACTAATGTATTACATGCAGTCACATTCTGCATTCATAATTGAATATGTCGATTTAGGCAAAGCAAAAGCTGATTAGAGAGATATTTTCATCCAGGCATGTAAAATTTAATCCAGGAAGGCCACATTCTTGGCAGTCACTTTGGGAACTAACATGTAATCAAACAATCAATACTGAGCAAAGCTGACTAATTGTCCAGGTATTATTCTGAAACAATGATTTGCCTTGCATTACTGCCACCAGGTCCAAATTGTTCAGGTTGCTTTAGTTGCTGATATACTTAATTGCAGAAACGCTACTACACTTGCACAAAGTGATTTTGGTAATGACCATATATGCGTGGGTTGACACCGTGATTTCATTGGCCCTGATCACCCTGTTAGGTGTGCTTTGAGGCATTTTAAGTAACATCAAGTATATATCTGCATAGATAGTCACAGCCTCAGTCTGTTTAAACAAACCCAACAGCAGGGCCTCTGTTGTAATGTCTGGATGTCCTGACTAATATCCTAAATTTCCAAGTTGTTTTGAACATCTACAAGGACAGCTGTGATTATGCAGTGCTCATCTACCAGACAAACTACTGAAGGACAGGAATTATCTGTACAAAGACACATAAAGCCCCAATTGCTGCTGCCTGGACTAATGTCCTCTCCATCTCTCACCACAAAGGCTTATCTAGCCACTTGCCTCCAAGAAACTGAGTCAGGTTCATATAACATATTGTGGTCTGCCATCAGAGTGCCACCAGATATGGCACCCATAGGCTATATCTCCATCTAGTAGTAGATAAACTGATAATGTTATTGGATCATGAGTGAGTTCCCACACTTTATACCCCAGGACTTGACCCCTGAGTAATAGGATCAGTTTTCTGATTGACAGCCAGTGGGGTGTAACAAGACACCAACCCACAGCATGGAGGGGGCATAAGGGAAGTATTATACATCACTTCTACTAAGGCTTTTTTAATTTTAATTTACAATTTGTTTAAATCATTTTATATGGATGAAATCTGAAACAGATTATTTTTTTTCAGTTGAATTGATTTAGAATGATGAACCAAATTTGTATTTGCCATGGACAAGTCTACTCCTCATGTGTCGTAAATTAATATTATTTTGGTATGTCATTACTTGCTCCATTTTATAATTGCATAGCACTGCACAAAATGTTGGAACTATATAAATGATAATAGCTCCCATTGGGCCATATTATAAAGTGGAATCCATGTGCTAAATGTGGAGCACTCAGCAGAAACGTTTCATTGGTTTCTATGTTGATTGCTGCACATTTAGCAGTATGGCCTAGAAATGCACTTTATACTTACAACCCACTGCCTTTTAATACAGCGATGGCTTTGTCAATGCCCTCCATCCAGATCTCTGAGTCACCGGACATCTCAACAAGCTTATAACTGACCTGGAGGTCAGATTTGAGAAACAGCCAATGATTCACTGCAAACAAACTAGAAAATAAAGGAGAATTGAAAGGAATAGGATTTGGGAAAACAAAAAACCATTGTGTTTATTTAATAAAAACACAAAACAGAAGTAAAATGCATCTTTTATTAAATAACCAGTTACTTATTAAGGTAAGGTAAAGATTTCTGTTGCATTGTGGTCCCTTTATTCAGGTGTACATATTTAATATAAAATACATATTTAAAATTACATTTGTATTCTCACATACATCAGTTAGTGCACTGATACATACAATGTAGGCCAAAGTCTTTTGAAATGACACTACAAGCCATAGCAACTGCATTTCATTGATTGATTATTTTCAGCCTATCCTTGGTGATGTTTAATCAGCCAGAAAGACATGGCCAGTGACCTGATAAACTGTCTGTGTCAGGAGGAAGAGTAACACTTTATAACATTGAGGATGTTATACAAAGAGGGAGAGATATGCTAACCTATTCTGAGTAAGGCTTCTCTCAAACCAATAAATTAACCCTGCCAATGAGGCAGTTTACAGTCAAAAGAGAAATAGAAGCTGGGAAGTCTCTGTCGCTGAATTGAAATCAACTTGACATATTAAGACAGTTCATCTTGCACAAAAACAAAATGATGATTTGTATAACTGAGGAAGGTGGAAGCAGTTAGAGACTTTGTCAACAGCTGTGCGAAAACAGGAGAGCTTAGTACAGACAGATGGTTTGGAGCAAATGGAACAAATATAGGAAGGTGGTGACCGACATAATCACATTTCAATAACAAGGCATTTAGTGTCATGATTAATGTACACATACAGACAAAAAAATTCAAATCAGCAATTTTCCTATGAAAGATGATATTTGTTGTGTGTAGTTGTTTATGTGCTTTGTTACAGTTTTTTAGTAGTCTCGGTTTGTGGATACAGGATTATAAATTTCTAGTTTGAGTGGAGGATCAAGCTGATTAGCAAGGTAAATCCTAATTATCTTCATGTTTTGGGCAGTGAAAGAATATCCCATCTCTCAGCTTAACACTACAGCCCAAATGGCTAGAGACTCAAACTAGGTTGAAAACGCTACAAGGCAACATCAGAAAGGACACTCAAAAAACCAAAGAGTGAGTTACTGGTGGCATCTGGACACTATCCATGAGTGGACGAGTGGCTAAGATGGTGCTTTAATTGCAAGATTAGATCACTTTAGTCTAACAGCAGGCATGCTGGCTTTCATTTTCCTTTTTCTCTGCTGAATTTCCTTCAAGATCTGAAAAAAATTCATTTACAATGCTTGTTAAAATGACAGTTTTGCACTTTATTCTACATTTGCATTAACTTTTTTCCATTTCATCTATTTGTGTATTTGTCTTTCTGTATAATGAATTCAAATGAACGGATAGCTGTTTTCTGCAATACAATGATAATATGGCTTTGGATCTACCCAACACATTGCATTATAGTTAGTCTAGATTTGTCAAAGTTTGCCATTTAAAAATGTTAATATTTAATGAGTGTTCAACTGCAGATCAATATATAACAAAGAGGAATTAGTCAGTAAATACAATAATAAAATTATCTGTAAAATGGGATGGTCAGGAAGATTACTTAAGGAATACATTTATTAAGGATTCTGCAGCAAAGAAACAATGGCGGAAATATAGGCTATTTAAATGTAATTATATCACATTTTAGGTTCAGTGCACATCCCGCTATGTGTTTAATTATTAATCTGAGAGCAAGCAGGCTTCATTGTCACTGTAAACATTCCACAGATTACAAGCTCTCCTGTATGACATCATGAAATACTCACTAATGAGGGTCCCATTCCCAATCTGAGTTGGGCTGTCTTTGCTCCTTTCCAGTTGACTCATCATTGACTGTTCAAAGGCCAGAGCTGCAACTCGGAAAAAGAAATCCTTCACATGTTCCCCTGGGACAGAGCAAAGCAGAAATATAATATAGGACTAGGTAGCATACAGTCATTTCTTTATCAAGGACTTTTCCACTGGAAGACCAACACATTCTATTATAATGAATAATTGATTTGACCCTTGAGTGTCTTAGGACTAAGCAACGCAAATATTACTTATCTGGCACTTATAGGGTTAATAGTGATACACGGGTTAATGTTCCAAGAGAGGAACCATAGATGTTGGAGCAACCTTTAAGGATTGAGCTTTATAGAATAAAGGTGAAACTAAACCAAACTAAACTAAAATGTACTTCAATGTAGGTGCTCAATAGAGCTTCTCGTAATAAAGAACATAGAAAGAATGTTTCAACTTGTATACGGATACAATAACATTACCTGCTAACAGTAGTGAAACAGTAGTAGTATAAAATGAGCTGGATAATGAATAGAAGATAATAGCGGGACTGTAATCAAGTGTGGATCCCCAGACCCTACACAAAACCAGTGAACCCCAACCTCTCCCTGTAATTAACTAGGTACAGTATGAGTAATTGCTGAAAACATTCAGTCCACTAGTATTCCATAGTTAACGATTGGACCAACTATTATAGCAGATACAGTCGCTATGGCTACTAATCCCTTACATCCAGTATGACCTTGAAAGGGTCTATCAATAGGTAGATAAGTATAAGGCTACAACCCTAAAGGCTCCCATAGATAGGGAGTTCCATAAAAAAAGGCAAGCGACAGAACTTAGTTAAGTTCCCTGAGTGGCATGAAAATAATCGTTAAGTACTGGAACTGCAAATCGTTGCTGACAGGTGGTCGTGCTAGCACACTTGCTAAGCTTAAAATAGAAATATCTGTGGATCATCGTATAATAGCCAATCTACCTAAGACTAAAACTACTAAACTAAATTGCTACCTGTACTTCCCCATAATCCTAAACTTAAATCAAGAAGCACAATGACTCCATAACCCTAGAGCCCAAAAACACCAAAATTAAACAATAGACTAAACGAAGCGTAAAAACACCCGACGCGCATTTCGGCACTACTGAATTGCGCCTTCGTCTAGGGCTAGTGAGAAGTCGCCCCTATTTAAATGTCCGCGCCAATCTTATGGTCCCGCCCCTATGTGGGATTCATCTAATCAAAATGAAGCAGGGGCGTGGAAAAAGGATAAGCGCCCTCCCCTTAACAACTCGGTGAGGTGAAGAGAAATCTGCTAGGAAATGAAACCGGCTTTTGTATTTTAAAGTCAGGCATACTAGTCATAATCATATCCTATAGACATTGCTTGCTTATCATCTCTACTGACAGAAAAAAAAAATGGCTGTCAGTGACAATTATACTAATGTCAATTTCCAAATGGGAAGAAAAACGGTAGTCATTTCCTGGATGTCTGAATTATATAATGGAGATTGAAAGTACCAAAAAAGGTGCAAAAAACACTGTCTCTAGGTCAAAAAGGGTTAAGTGAGTACAGATGAAAAAAAACACATCAAAAGACACTTGATGGGCAATTCATATTAATTTCATATTACCCCACTTGGTGTGTATTAAATTTATTTTTTAATAAATGTTTCACTCATTCCCATAATTTTACGGACAGTCGCTTTCTTGTCCATTACAAGGTAAAGACTTTGCAGAGTCCCATGGAGCAGGTTGCTATCACCTGCTAATTATACAATGGAGTGAAATACTAGGGGACAACAAACTAAAATAATCAAGTGAATATACAGGATTTAGTGAAAATACTCAATTGAACATGCTCTATATTTGTGATGTCATAAAAGACTATATTGGATTAATTATTATACTTATGACAGGATCAAGAAAATTAGCATCAACGTAAGTGGTAATACTAGGATTACATTTCTTATAGTTATAATCAATAATTGTAAAAGTAACCATCTATATCAGTCTCTAGATAATTTGGAAATGGTTACATGAATTACAAAGGGACTATATTTCCAAAATAAATAATTCAAGAATGGGGTGTAGGTAAACCCTTCATTCAGGCCCACGGGTGCTAGGGTCTTTAATTTATAGATCCAATAGGACTCCCTTTGTTTTAATAGGCGGTCCAAATCTCCACCTCTTTGGTCCAGTGATATTCCCATAGATGTCTTGAAATAGGTGCGTCATTTTTGTATCTTACTGAACGAATGTGTTCCAAAATACGAAGTTTAAATTGTCTGAAGGTTTTGCCAACATATTTCTTTCCACAGGAGCAGCTAAGATGATAAAGTACTCCTCTGGTTTTGCAATTGAAGAAATCCTTAACTGAGAGTTTAATATTCTTAGTACTATCTGCAATCACTTTGGAGTCCCGTAAAATGAATTTATAAGCCTTACACTTGCCACATTGATAGGACCCTATCAAACAATTCTTTAGCCAAGTGTATGAGGATATTTTAGAAGAGAGGTGGCTGGGTACCAAGAGGGTTTTTACCCCTCCTAAATGTTAATCATGCATTAGAAGTCAGTAAGTTCTTGAGGTGCGTATCCTGTGTAAGTATGGGCCAGAAACTATTCAAAATAGATTTGGCCGATTCCCGCCCCAGATCAAAATCAGCAATGCATCTAAACTGCTGGTCATCAGAATCCTTATGGACATTTTTTAACATGATCTCGCTGTCCATATCCAAAGCTCTCTTATACGCTATTTTTAGACATCAGTTAGGATATGCACGTTCTTTGAAGTGTGTGCAGAGCTCCTTAACTTTAGACTTTAAGTCCTCCAGTGTTGAGCAATTCCTACATACTCTTAGATACTGTCCTATTGGAATACCCTTTTTAAGGGGTCTCAGGTGGTAGCTATCCCATTCCAGAACACTCTTTGTGGCTGTAAGTTTCCTAAATAGTATTGTTTGGAGGTGGTTAATTTTATTCTTAAACCTCGTGGTATCATTTCTTTTTGTATGTAGTTTTGTAATAAGGATATTTCCCAACCTACCCTAAGTTGTTGTTTAAACAACTTGGATAGTTCCTTAAATCCTTTTTGTATATTATCTGTTGTAGGGTTAGGTTCTAATGGATTATCCGAAAAGACAGTGTCTGCTTCGGCACACCAAGTTGTAAAGTCCTGTTTTTGAGACAAAAACCAAAAAAAAAAAAAAAAGGTCCTTTTATTTCTAAGTTTAATCAAAGTATGAAACCTTAAAATGGTGGTATTGAAGCAATTAATATAACAAAGAAGAAAGGAATAAGGTCCCTTAAGAAGTGTCCTCCAACATACACAGCTATTCTGATTTATTACAATGACACAAGTCACTTCTTTTCCTGTAGGTTCGAACCTGTTTTTGCTGATACGGACCAATATTCAGCTTTAAACTCTCTAGCGAATTGTATAGCGTCGCGTTCTGTCCGCTCACACTCTGCTAAAGTCTGTAAAAAAAAACAAAACAAAAAAAACCACAATGAAATAAATGTAAAAAAGAATACAGAAACCTAGACAGAGCACAGCGATTACAGGCATTGAAGACTGCACTCAGAACGTCAACACATGGATACCATTATGACAAAGAGAAAACCTACAAAATAAGATTGTTTTTGCTTTTCCCGTTATATTGCCTATTGCCCATTGCATTTTGTTAGGTGAAACCCTCTTCTTCAATGTATATAAAACTGAAAAGGATTCAGGACCTACATAAAAAGCATAGAACCGAGTGTGCTCTCTTCTCTTTCTATAACCCCCATGTTCTCATGCAGACAATGTGTGGAGAGTTCAATAACCAACAAAAGGCTTACATCAGCAATCTGCATCTATCCACCCATAGAACACATGCTTTGGGATTAAAATTGATCTATTATGGACAATCCATACATTACACAATTCATTGCTTAAATGTAGTTCTTTTATTATTTATATAGTGCCAGCAAATTCTGTAGGATTGTACTATGGGTGGACTAACAGACACGTAATAGTAACCAGACAATTTGATGCACAAGAACAGAGGGGTTGAGGGCCCTGCTCAATGACCTTACATGCTAGAGGGAGTGGGGTATAGTGACACAAAGGGTATAAGTAGGGGTAATGTAATAGGTTGCTAGAAAAGTAATCACTGAGAACTTAGTAAGTTATTTTTGACAGTTGCATGAAAGGAGTCATGCGGGGGGGATGAAAACCGACTAACAGTTTAAATGATATGCTTTCCTGAAGAAGTGTGTTTTCAAAGATTTTTTTGAAGGAGTGGAGACTGGTGAAAGTCTAACGGAGAAGGGAAGGCAGTTCCACAGAAAAGGTGCAGCTCTGGAAAATTCTTGAAGACGAGCATCAGATGTGGGAGTACGGAAAGAGGATAGGCGTAGGGGGAGAGCGCAGGGGCCTCGGCGGGACATATAAAAGACAGGTGAGTGCCCAATGACACTAGTTCCTCTCACCATGAAATACAGGGCCAGCAGACGCAGTGCCCAATCTACCTGGTCCTATATTTTCTCTCCAGTTATCAATAACTCCAGGCCCCAAGACCTGATGAACTTAAAAACAAACTTTAACTACGACTGGAGACAAGACCATATAAAGTTCCTAGGGGTTAACTTCACGCCCACACCCAATACACAATTCAAGGCAAACAATGTCAAACTGCTTAGGGAAGTCAGAACCGTCTTGCAGGGGGTGGAAAGGGAAATATATCTTCAAAGCCCACAAACAACTAACCCTCTGCACAACCCATATGGAACCATCCTGCAAGCTGCTCTATAGATGGTACCTGGTCCCCACACGTCTCAAACACAGCTCCCCCAACGCATCTGATGTTTGCTGAAGGGTCAGGTGGACCTAGGAACCATGATACATACATGGTGGCACTGCCCGGGGCTCCGACAATACTGGCAGCACATATCAGCCCTAGCTACCCACTGTACCAAAGTACTTCTACTCCTACTGCCACAAAATCCCCCCTACGATCAACCAATGCATCAATGCCGTAGTCACAAATAAAAACGATGAAATTATGGCAAGGAAAACAATGCCGAAAGCCCCCTACTGGCCCATGGCATGGGAAATGTGGGACAAACACAAACCCAGACAACCCTAACACACAAGCACATACCACAGGCAGATGTCTATGACCTCCCCGACTGGAGGCATACTATCTTCACCCACTCTCAGTCTAATGTGAGGACAGCATCAGGCCAACCACCCGACCCGCACTGCACCCCCACCCCTTTCCCCAGTGTCCTTATTTCACCCCCCATCACCCACACTATGACAATGAAAATAGTTACAAATGTCAAACTAATGCTTTTGGGCCAGAACCTTCCACAAACCCGATCCCACACAACCCGGGGGATGGGTTGTGGAATCATAAATATGTAAAATGTAACTAAGTATTATGTCAAGTGTAACCAACAATACAAATGAAATGTGGAAGCTTAAAATGTTGGGGGCGTGGCTGGCTTGGACGCCGAGCATGATGGCGGCTTAGTGAGGGAGCTCCCCGCTGGCTCTGCACATTTCCTCGCCGCGCGTCAGGACCGTACAATGGGGAAAACACATAAAGCCACGCACGCTGTGAAGTCCGCGGACACCCCTAGGGGGTCCCCGGCACCCTCGATGCAATACCTGGTCACCCCGGCTGACCTCGCGTCCCACGATGGAGCCCCCCCCGGACTAGGTGAAGTTACTCAGCAACCTACCCATTAAAGCAGACCTCAAATAAGCTAATGCAGCCCTGCAGAAATCAATTACAGCAGAACTGCACGCCATGGGGGGGGGACCTGCAAGGCCTTCACCACAGAGTCCCATTTGGAAGCAGATAATGACCATGCACAAGCGGTACAATCCACGAATACTGACGCCATACCGGTCTGGCCTGCTGTGGACCCAAGCTCCCGCGGGGACCCGGCGGGATTGCCGGGCTCCGGGTGGAGTCCATGGTGCCTCTAACGGGAGATGAAGACATGAGGAATATCTAATGTTTACTACTGTCATGCATTGCCGAGGGACCCATACCTGGAAGGGAGAAGTATGGGGGCCTGTGCCCTGGCCGGGGGAGAGCTCCTGACCCACGCGTGACGACCCGCTTAGGTGAGCACGTGGGGGAGCCGGCTCCAGCCCGGCCTGCTTGGGGCCTGGGCTCCCATGGAGTAGAGGTGGGAGGATTGGAGCCCAAACAAGATTTATTTTGCTTATGCGTGAGGGGGGAGGGACAGCGGGGCGGCCGGGTGGGACTGCGGGAATGACGGGTACATGAGCACAGGGACCAGGTCACAGGGGCGCACCCAACAAGAAGCCCCATGCTTGGAATGTTCTAAATGTTTTACCCGTTTATATTTTTCATATGCTTAAAGATTTCCCCCTCAAATTTCTCCTGTTTACACATATGATCAAAATATAGATCTGACACACACCATCCCTAGAAGGCCCTACGTCCAGCATCTAACAAGGCGAGGAACACAAAGTTGACACACACGCAAACTGAGCCAACAGGGGACGACGTCAGAGGAGTTCATAAAAGGACTTGGACGGTCTGCGATTTGGTAGACCCCACCCTCACGTGCGCTGCCTAGTGGCTCGTAACCTCCTTCGACTCCCCCTTAGGATAGGGCGCAAGGTACTGGGCGGGTAGTCGCCCCTTATCCCTGGTGGACAGGCGCTTACCCCTACCCAGACGCTCATACCTAGACAGCGCTCTTGCAGGTGCTGGTTCCCCCCCCCACCCTGATTGACCATACCCCCCCACCTAACACTCCCCCTACCCCTGACTACGACGATGTCATTGCGAACTGCAAATCTTCATATCACCACCATTAACGCCAAAGGACTGAATAAACCTGAGACACGCTCACATGCCCTGAGAAACTTCCACAGTACTGGAGCGTCTATTGTATATATGCAGGAAACACACTTCCGAGACGGATCTAGACCCAAAATGACTGACCATCACTATACCAAGGGCTACTACAGTGACTATAGTGCGGGAAAATCGAGAGGAGTGGCCATCCTAATACACAAACACGTACCGTTCAAAGAAGTAGCGACTGAGACCGACCCTGAGGGGATATTCCTGTTCCTGAAGGGCACGATAGCAGAGACCACCTACACCTTCGCCAATATATACGCCCCCAACCAGAGGCACTATAGGTTTTTCACCCGTACTCTACGCTTACTCTGATCATTCACGGAGGGCATACTGATCCTGGGGACTTTAACTTGACCATGGACCCGAAATGGGACTCGTCCTCAGGGACCTCAAGAGTCCTGCTCCAACACTTGACCCACATCAAGACCCTCTTCCGACGCTTACACCTTCTGGACTGCTGGAGGGCACACCACCCAGACGAAAGGGATTATACGTTCCTGCCCTACCCACAACACATACACACGACTAGATTACTTCTTTATGACCCATTATGACCTGACCCTGGTGAGGGCATAGGAGCACGGTAAGGCAACGTGGTCAGACCACGCGCCGGTCTCTCTTACTCTAACGTCCTCACTGTACAGGCCCAAGGTCTCCAAGTGGAGACTAAATGAATATATGCTGTCCCTCCCAGAGATCCTAACGGAAACGAGAAAAATACTGGGAGACTACTTTATAGAAAATACCCCAGAGCAGACCTCACATACACTTATTTGGGAGGCACACAAATGCGTGGTCAGGGGTTACCTCAAGAAGGGGCAAGGCTGAAACGACAACGAGAGGCACAAATTACAACAGTCATACAGGGCATACACGCAGTAGACGAATCCAACAAGAGGGACGGACTCCTAGACAATCAGGTAAAGCTGCTCCAGCTAAGGCGGGACTTAGCCACACTCCTACACGCCAGACACCACAGGGAACGCGGCACAACGCATTCTTTGCCATACACGGCAACAAGAGTGGAAAACTCCTTGCGAGAATGCTAACCAAGCGTAGACAACACACATATATATATATATATATATATAAATAAAAGATGCAGGACAAAACAGGCACTCTACACCGCCTTCCCGCCAGGGTTCAAGAAGTGATACACTCGTACTATTCCGAGCTTTATTCCCTCCCAGGGCCACAAGACCCGCGGACACAAACCAACCTCACAAAAAATACAAGAATTCCTGCAGACTCACACACGCGCATAGAAAGGGACACAGCGGAAGCGCTTGACGAACCCATTACCGCGGAAGAACTGGCATGGGCAGTTAAAGCGACAAAACCGGGCAAAAGCCCAGGTCCAGATGGCCTCCAGCTGCGCTACTATAAATGCTTCGCACAGACCCTATACACACCGATGGAAGCCTCCTTTAACGCGATCAGGGAGGGACACCACTGGCCCACACAATCCCTCAAGGCACATATCACAGTTATACCCAAAGAGGGCAGGGACGGAGAACATTGCGGCAATTACAGGCCAATCTCCCTCATAAACTGCGACTTGAAATTAATTGCGAAGATATTGGTGACCCGCCTACAATAACACATCCCCGCCCTGGTCCACCCAGACCAAGTAGGGTTCGTGATGGGTCGTGAGGCCAGGGACAACACTATAAGGGTGCTATCGATAGTACACAGGATGGCAGACCGAGGCGTCCTCGCCCCATACCCATCACCGTTGACCCCCCTGACACACAATACGGAGTTTCCACCAGGACTCGACCCCCTAGCGTTCAGAGGCCTTATCCCAGACCCCCTACCCAGGTTACACCACGTATACACTCAGACAGGCCCGAGGACCCTTCCAGATATCATAGGCAAACACACCACCACCTTCGCACAGGAATACAAATACGCCCAGCTGAAGAGCTATCTTAAGACCCTCCCCCAGGGTCAAGCACTGAAACGCGCCCCCACGGGGTTCGAACAACTATGTCTTGACCCAGAAACCCTCCCCCACGGAGTATCCACCCTATACACCTCACTACAGACACAAATCCCAACGGAGGCGCCCAGGTTCAAAGGAAACGGCACTAAACCGCAGCTTTAGCGAAGGGGAATGGGAAAGATGTGCTTGTTAACACACCACTGCGCGGCATTCAGCAAACACCAAGAAACAGCATACAAACTGCTCACGCTCTGGTACCGCACCCCAGACTACCTACACAAAATATACCCAGACCAATCAGCAAAGTGTTGGAGATGCGGGGTAGGGCCGGCGACGCTCCTACACATTTGGTGGGAGTGCGCAGAGATACAACCCTTCTGGCAGGGGATACATAAGATGCTAAAGATATTCACGGACCAACCACCCCCATTTGACCCCGCTGCAATGCTCCTCCATCACACTACCATACCAAGTAATAGATACAAAAGATCAATTACTATTAGGATACTTAATGTAGCAAAACAGCTCATCACACAACACTGGAAGAGCAAGGACGCACCTACACCGGACAAGTGGTTCACACAAATGGAGGCCCTGAGAGGGACGGAAGACATGCACATGAAATCTATGGACAGAACACAACAATACCTTGACACATGGATTCTGACAACGACGGGAGCCGGGTTCACAGACAAACTCCGTGACTGGAGCAAACACTATAACCGTGTAATACTGGGCCCAAACGGAGGACAAGATGCAGCCCTATTACCAGACACCGCAATAGACATCCCCTCTACAGCGACAGACCCTACCACTAACTAGACTTAGGGACCACACCTGACGGACCAGACAATCGTGACTAGTACTGTACACCCCAAACCTCTTTTCCCCCCCTTCACTCCCCTACACCACAACACATTGAAAATATTATATGACCAACTTTAAAAGAGCTCCGGGACCAGCGAGTCCAACAAGTAAATGCTAATACAACAGACGACTACACAAAACACTGGAGGGTAGTACAAGCGCATCTAAAGGGCTAGGGGACCAGCGGGCCCACCATATAATAACTAATTGTACCAGGGCGAGACCTGCAAACGACAACGAAACACAAAAAGTGAACATTACCTCCTGCCATGGTTATTAACCCTAGGTGGCATAAGACCTGCGTGTCCACACTGTCATTCAATATACCATGTGAAAGTACTACCCACTGTTTACATCTCATAGGACCTGCGAGTCCAACACGTAAATGATACTTGTGTTAAAATGTGACCTGCGTGTCACCACTGCCTGTATACTTGATCAGCATTTTCTCTCCTTTTTTGCATTTCTCTCTTTTGTTCTGCGTGTCCTTACCGATGTTTTCTTATGACATGACCGAAATTGGAATATTGAAAATACCTAATAAAAATATATATTCACAAAAAAAAAAAAAAAAAGTTGTATGCTCTGACAATGTTACCGAGCTCTGTATGTACAAATTTTCATCGTTGCCACCTCCCCTCTTCTTCTGTACCCCCCTGAGATTACGCAACCTGACAAAATAAAAATTGTCAAATTGAAAAAAAAATAACTCCAGGCCCCCCCAACCAAAGGAAAACAAGAAGAAAGAAAACAAAGATAAAAAAAGTATAGAGTAGAGCAGGATCCACAGTGAGCATGGATTCCACTACAAATGGTGGGCACCGGGGATACAAGTGTAAGTTCTGGCAGACAACAGGGAGGATAGAAACAGTTGAGCCAGCCTCTAGGATTGAGAGATCCATGCGCCTCCATACCCACAGCCAGATCTACCCATTCCCTTAAAAAAAAAATGTCATGGGTCCCATTCTTTAGTAAACGTCTTCATAGTACCCCTGACCTGAATAGTTCATTTATTCAAATAGTTATCTTTAATTTTCATAAGCACTGTTTCCATAGCTGGCATTTTAGATTGAAGCCAAGATTGGGCCAAAGACATACTGGCTGCTAAGATAAATTTGTGAAGGAGCTTTTGCTCCATTCTAGTCCAGCCATCTAGTGGTTTGGATAGCAGAAAGACCCAAGGATCGAGTTCAGGGCCGGCGCGTCCTAAAGCCTAGGACGCGAAAGTGAGAAGTGGAGATGAGACCACTAAGGGATGGGGGAAATGGAAGAGATCATTAAGGGACGAGGGGAGTGTAAGACACACAGAGGCTGAGGAAGGGGTGAAAGGCAGGGCTGGTAGGGAGGACAGACACACAGAGGGGCTCAGGAGAGAGACACAGTCGCTTGTGAGGGAGGCACACAGAGGGGCCTGGGGGGAAAAGAGACACACCAAGGAGCTGGGAAGAGTAAGACACACAAGGAGGGGGGATAAAAGACACAAGGGGCTTGTGAGATACACCCCTTTTAGTGTAAGACACAAAACTTAAAGAAAAAAAAATATACAATACAAATTATATTCACAAAATAAAATAAAATTAAAGAGCTGCTCCCCTCTCAGACCCTATCCTCCCCACAAACCCTCTCTTTCACACTTCACACAAAATGCATACCTCACACACACCATGATCTGTGTAAGGGACCCACCCCCCAAAAAAAAAAAGGAGCTGCTTCCTGTTTGTTGATTTTTGTGAGCACTGCCTCCAGAGAGCCTGTTTTAACACCAGACCAGTGGAGCCAGACTGCAGCCTGAGCGCATCATCATCCTCTTGTTCTCATCTGGTGGTAAGCAGGCAATCCAATATATTATTAGTGATACTAATCCCTAATTTACCTCACATTAAAGAGACACTATAGTCACCAGAACCACTACATCTTAATGTAGTGGCTCTGGTGTCTATAGCCTATGCCTACAGGCCTTTTAATGTAAACACAATGCCTTTTCAGAGAAAACACACTGTGCAGCACTGGCGTGGCTCATATTGCAGATAATATGGGTGGGGCATTGTGATATTGCATGGAAGGTAGAGCATTTGGGGCAGCCAGTTTTTATTTGCCTAGGGCGGCAAAAATCCTCGCACCGGACTTGATCCAGTTCCACCCGCCTCTAGACATAGTCTCTCGAAAAAAGTAATCGGTTAATGTGCCGCTTCTTTAATATGTGCTTGTTTTAAAGTCCCCAAATTGTCTGTTTCTAAAAAAAATCTGAATCGGTCATTGTTCTGCCTTGCAGGTCCTCAATTGGCACTACAACTCCCCCGTCATACAACTGATGTATCCTCTGCAATCCAGCATATTCAATACCCCTAAACTCCCGTGCCTTTATTCCTGGGAGGAAATCCCTGTTTCTCAGTATAATGTCAGAACAAACTTTGTTGCATGCGTATCCCAGACCCAGATGGAGTTCTGTGAGTAATAGCGTACTGTGTTCTTTTGGGACCCACATATAGAACTGAGAAAGGCCCACTTCCATCATCTAGGACTCCAGATCCACCCAAATTTTGCCAATTTCTTTCGTTCTTGTAGCTTCCAGATTATGTTCATAATAAAGAGCATGGGCCAACACTCCCTACAATAAATAGGATTTTTTTTATTTTGGTACATAGATATGAGTGGGAATATACTGGTCTTAACATTTTTGAAAAAAAAATCCAATTGTTGACATTTATGTCTTCAAGTACCTTCATAGTGTGGTATTTATTGTGATGAGTGCTAGACCATTCTCTTTATTTTTATATAAGAATGGTTTTGGTGGGACCATGATCCGTGCACCTTCCAGAAGTAAGTGTTCACTTGATGTGATATTTTGTTTTTCATGTGGAAATCTTATTGATTATTACTATTTTCTTTAGTTATTGCTTCCTAAAACTTTTTTGCTTACCACTGTATCTTTCTTGGTTCCAACTAGGAAAATTGAGCAAGCCTCTGGATCATTCTCCCTTAGAGCATCCTGCACCCACCGTCTAAGGAAAGAAATAGATTATAAGAACAGGCAATGTCCAAACACACTAAGTATCAATCTTGCCTTTTGGCCGACTCAGTCATCTCCACACCTTTACAGGTTTGGTTGCATACAGTTAAGATACTTGTCCGGTAACTTACTTTGTATTCTCCAGGGTTTGGATGTCACCCAAATCAAATGCAGTGATAATAACTGCAAGACATGACAAACAGAAGTTATATATACAGGGTCATTGTAATGATTTTCTGCTACAAAGCCAAAATAAGGCACCTACTTTTACACAGAGGGGTCACATGCAGACATAAAGAGTTTTGCTTTGAAGCTTTTTGATACTTATTAATGCCATATTATACTGTGAGCGCTGTGTTTTCCTCATTTAAATTATTTGAGATTTTTTAATCTCCTTAGGTGGCATTTTATGTATGTCTCGGACCTCCACAGCAAAATGCTCACAGTAATGTGCAGTGTGAACCAATTTAACACAGCAATCGACAACAATAAATCTTGCAGTAATGTGCATTGTGTATGAGTGTCAAAGGGACTGCTTAGAGGCTGCTTGTGGAATTATGTGTGTAGATTGGACTGCTTATGGAGTAGTGTGTGTAAATAGATTTGTTTGCGGTGAAGTATCTGTAGCTGGGGCTGCAGAGACTGTTTGTCGATGGGCTGTGTGTATATCACATCTAGTGCATGTGTGTATATAGGAGATGTAGTGCATGTGTGTGTGTAAAGCATGTAGTGAGAGTGTGTATAGGAGATTTAGTGTGTGTAGGGGGATGTAGTATACGGGGGATGCAGTATGAGTGAGTGTGAAATAGAGTATGTGAATGTTTAGGATGTAGGGGCACTTGTATCCTTGATGGTACAGTGCTGAGCTCTTCTGTTTTGCACCTTCATCAGGAAAATCCTTGTATAGTCTTGTTGCGAGCTTCTGCTCTCTGGTAGTATCAGAAAGTTGCCACAGTTTATTACGGCAATGCTTCAGTACTATCCGTCAGTGATAGTGCCGGAGTTTGTGAGAGGGATATGCAAGCTTTGCACCCTATGAAGGTGGAAACCAGGTCTCTGGAAACTTGTGTTCACCAGCCTATGAAGGGACATGGGTCAGCCAGCTGGGCCATATTTTGTCTGCCCCCCCCAGCGGTGAGACCTAAGGCTGTCTAATGCTACCTTAAGGTAGCACAAGTCAATTATCTAGAAAGGTTGATCATGACAGATTTATATTTCCTTTCAGTGTTAACTATTACGGCCTTAATGTAATATTTTCGGATAAGGTTTTTAAAAGATTTTATATTTTTGATTAACTTTTACAAATATTTCAAAGTTAAAATATCAATATATCAAAAGAGATCAAAATATTTGTCAAATTATTATATTATTTTACAAATGTATCAAAATTATTAAATAATTTAAAATACATAACCAAAAATATTAAATCAAGACCTATGTGGTATAAAGTATAAAGAAAAGGTTGAATCCTCTAACATTGTAATACATATTATCTCACTACCAACCCTGTGCTCCTCTGTAATATGTTGAGGCAATACATTTGAACTTCTCTTGTCCCGCTGTGTCCCATCTGCAGTTAGAGAGAAGCAAAATATCATGAAAGAAACTGCAGCATACATCTTTTCAAATGAAAAATAAATAATGTATGATTTAATCAGTTCGTTATTAACCCCTCGATCGATTATATCTCATGGTGTCATTGTAATCTTTCCATAAGGACCCATTGCCCAAATATAATTGTTTTTATTTAGCATTTGGATCTGTATACAGATTTGCCCCATTAAATGAGTAGAACACTCCATCCGATACACCTTTAAAGGCTGGTTTGCAATGAGAGTCTTGTCCCCTCACTGATCCTCAAAGGGTTAAGTTCTATTTGGTAGAGACCTCTAAAATAGATGTGTATCATACCAAAATGTTAGCATTATAAAAAATATATGCACAGACACTTGATGTGTTTCAAATCAAACACTCTGTTCATTTTGCCAGATAGCAGCAACTTGCTACAATAACTATTTTCCTAAAAGTAAAAAGGATGCTGGATTGTAGTCTATGATTACGCCCAGCCTTGTAGGCTTGTGTGCCATTTGCACAGGGAGATCATCATATTACAATGCAGAACAAAATGAGCATCATCTATGAAATAAATAGCAAATAATACAAATGGAATATAACACCATTAATTCCAAACAGGACAGACAGTATCAGATGCCTCTTTATAATAAAATCATATGGAAGTTGTGTAGTAAGTTGCCTACATTTGGAGGTTAAATGGTATCCCCAGGATCTCAAATTTCTCAATCTCAAAATCTACACCGATTGTTGCTTTGTAATCCCGATCAAACACGTTCTTACAGAACCTACAATAAAAACAGCAGAAGTGAGACAGTTTTACCTGAAAGTGGGCAGAATAAGTAATTATAATAAAAGAAAAACATTTGTAAAGTTACAAATCATTGATAAGGGCAAATAACTCTTCCCTGGCAAATCATAGAGTGAAGCTCCATATTGGAAGTTTTTTGTCTGTCTGGGAGTGCAATACCATCAGGGTTATTCACTAAACTAAAATTGTCAAGAAATGAAAGATAAATTTCAAATTTAAGACCAAAGTAGCCAATTAAAAAAATTATCCTAGACAAATTCTTTCTACTTTTAGCTATTTCGGCCTTAAATTTGAAATTAATTTGAAATTCACTTTAAATGCCCAACAATGTTTACTTTAATGAATAACCTTGCTTGCAAAATAATGATTATATCAACGATAGACCATGAGTAAGTACAAAGGGCATAGTAGAAATGGAGATTGAACATGAACCGAGGATTTGGTGGAATTGAAGGCAGTATAGCCATAAAGCTGAAGAGGATATTGGCTCAGGATCAATGCATAAAGTTTTTTATTGAGAAACACAAATGTTAATGATTAACAAGGACATCCAGAAATACTAACAAGGCTTAAACGTTACATTATCATGAATCTCAGTTTACAGGTTACCTGTTTATCAAACTTGTCTTCCCAACATAAAGATCCCCCAACATCACAACCTTTGACATCTTCAGCCTGTGAGGTACCATATTTAAAATGAAAAAAATAAAATAAAAGATGTATAAACAGTTTGAAAAGAGTAAAGATACTTATTAAATTATAGATTGCACAGTAAAACTAAGTTTCTAGGAATACCACTGTGTTTAAGGGGAAAAGACAACTGATGTATTTCTCTTTTTATGATAAAAGTAGTTATTAGGTTTTCATTTTTACTGTATTTTGCATTTAGCGTTCAAGATCATAAAGAGCAGCATTATCTTGGGCACCTATAAACTATACTAATATTAATACAAAATGTCAATGTGTACAAACATAATCTGCATTATCATAGAAAATGTCCAACATACATGAATGATGCTTTGAACGGTCTGGCTCCGCTGTAGTTTAAAGGGATATACAATTATGTACAAAGAGAATACACAAAGAGAAGAGGGAATAAGAATGGGAACAAGTGAGAATTTTTGTTTTAGAATATATAAGAATACATTTATAATTCTGATATCAATGCCCACATTACAGCCTAAGACATAATGCAACATTCAGTGACAAGCCAAGGCCTCTTTGCCTCAGTGTAGTTAAAGACACATCGTTGCATTAGTGGAGTAAGGTATGGGAAACCGTTTATCCATTTGGGGGTAGATATGAGCAGTGGTTATGGGCTGGCTTCCAGTTGCTGACAAAAGATTATCTCTAGCAGAAAATGTAAAACATGATTAGATAATTATCTCTGTCAGTTCATGTTTCTTAATAGCCATTGTAAAGACCAGTCAAGGGGTATTAAAATCAGATCCATATTTAGCAGTGAACCTATGTTTTGGAACATAGCTGTCAGGATACAGTAAATACCCAATGTCCAATTATAGACTAGACGATAACCAGAAAGAAAAAAAAAAAAGTAATAGAGACAGAAAGACGTGTTACTGACCCTAACAGCCAACAGACCTTAATTGAAAATGTTTCTGCAAGCAGACAAGCAAAGTAACTAAACCAGCAAAGAGCAGAACACAAACAGACTAGCTGAGGTCAGGGGATACAGATATCAGAATGCTGAGTAACAAATGAGTCATAACTAACAATACAATGAAGGAAACAATCTTAAGGACCACAGCTTAAATAGTCTTAGCAGTCAGTATCATTTTGTCTGTTCTGGAATTTTTCATTGTTGCAACAACATTAAAACACCAATTAAGTGGTTTTGGTGTATAGATCATGGTTCCATAGTCTATTGTTGCTCAAATATGAAAAGTTCATGAGAAATTAAAGCCCAGTTTCTCCTGAACAAAATGATATATAATAAGTTCGGGTGCACTTAAAATGAAAGGTGAATTACGGTTGAACAGACATAGCGCAAATTCCAGTTTTTGTTTACATTTTGTTTTGATCAGAAGGTGTAATATTGACTCTGTCCTGAAGGAGTCAATAGTACACTTTCTGATCAAAACACACACACACACACACACTTTATTTTTACATGTTAATCATCTTTTTTTTTTTTACTTTTTCCACCAGCAGGGGGGCTGTCTGACAGCACAGGCAGTCCCCCTGCAGGCAGATACAAAGCCAGCTATAGGGGGCCATGTGATCCCTCTCTGAGAGTGATCACATGGCCCCCGTGGGCCTGATTTGCCAGGAGAGAGCTGCCTGGGCTGTCAGGCAGTCCTCCCGAAGAGGATCGCGGTGGAGGTAAGCAACTGGAGGCTTAAGCCTTTACAGCATTCTATGCCACCGCAACGGCTTTAAAGCCCATTATAACGGGGACAGCATAGAGCGCCGTAAAACGGAGTCAAGGGGTTATGGAGATATATTTTTTTCAGTCCAACTACTTTGACATATTAAGAAAGGTTTGGTAATGGGACTGAAATGGTAAATGTATGCTGTTGTACAGCTGTAAAAAACAAATTGCGTTATCTTATTGATTTTGAAGTCCTACGAGTGTGTTGGATCTCAGCCAATCCAATGCTTTCCCTTATGAAAGCATTGGGAGCTATTGCATGTGTGGCAAATAGCTGCGCAGCAAATCAGCATCTCCGTGGAGAGCGTTCAGCACCTCCATGCAGACCCAATCTAATACACCGACTTTCCCCATTCTAATACACTGTCCACAAATCCAATAAACTGCCCCCCTCCCTCAACTCTAATACACTGCACCCTCCACCCAATTTAATACCTTGTCCTCCCCCAATTTAACACACTGCTTCCTCCCACCACTCTAATACTCCAAATTAATACATTGCCTCCTCCCCACCACTCTAATACACTGCCCCACTCCCTCCCCCAATTTAATATACTGCCCCCTCCCTCAAATAAATACACTGCCCACTCCCTCCCTCAAATTAATACAGTGCTTCCTCCCTCCCCAATTTAACACACTACACATGAAGATCCCCCAAACCTCTCTTCTCCTACCTTAAAGGACCACTACAGGCACCCAGACCTTTTCAATTCTATGAAGTGGTCTGGGTGCTAGGTCCATCTAGGGTTAACCCTGCACCTGTAAACATAGCAGTTTTAAAGAAACTGCTATGTTTGCAATAGGGTTAATCCAGCCTCTAGTTGCTGTCTCATTGACAGCCGCTAGAGGCGCTTCAGCGCATCTAACTGATTTTCACAGTTATGCTTTCCTATGGACTGATTGAATGCACGCGCAGCTCTTGCTCCCCTTCAGCCCGGCGGGAGTGGGACCCAGAGGGTGGGAGGGACCCAAAGACCCTATAGAGCCAGGGAAAAGAGTTTGTTTTCCTGGCACTATAGTGGTCCTTTAAGATGAGCCACCCGTCCTCCAGTTCCAGCCCTGCTTTTCTCTGCTCAAGCAGGCCAGATGCTCTGGCACTGCGAGCAGGAGTGGCTGGCCTGCAGGAGCACGCAATCGGCCGTGGGAGGGAAGACAAGAATCAGACAGGAAATATCTTTCCTGTTTTGTGGCTGGTTGCAACCACAACTCTAAGTGGCCCCAGGGCAGGTGGGTTGCAAATATATCCATTGTGGTCCGCATTCATGCTTGCTGTAAGACCATTCATTTCTATTCTCTATCTGGTTTGTAATCAGTGTTATATCTAATCAGATTTCTCTTCCTCTCATTTGCCTCATCTTAAATTTTGATTTATTAATGTTTTACTTTAAAGTCCATTAATCCATGTAACTGCAACAATTATTTCAAGTTCTTAACTTTTATTTCAAGTTCTTAACTTAATTGATCATTTACTGAGTCATGTAATAATTTCTTGCATTGCCTCAAAATTTATAAATGAGTAAAAAGTTGTAAAATGTCGCAGTATCTCTCCATGTAACCTAAAAAAGTCACTCCATTTCCCCAATGAAACATGCATGCATTTAATTATGCATCTTTTCATTAGGGTATATTTATTTTAAAAAAGAGCTAGCAAAAGCTGCAAGTCTCTTGTCTGACGCTTTTGCAAGCCCTCCCATTCTAACCCAGCCCAGACTTTCTACGGCTGTCCAATCATAGACTTCCCAATGCATCTCAATGATTTGGCTTTGCAAGACTGGTGCTCTGGTCAACTGCCTGTCTCTTGAGTTTAGCTCCACTGAACTAAACAACGAGGAGGTAACAGGACGGGTTGTCTGAGTCAGTGGTGTGGGGTTATGCAACAAGGTTAATTTATAATACTGACAATTTCTTTTTTACTAAATAGTAAAGTAGTACATACTACATACAGCACTTCAGCAAGATTATCGTATTGCTTTTGTATTAACTTTATTTGATTACTGTGAACCAGTACGGCATTATAAATTAATCAGTGGGTAACAGCTGGCAGGTTTTGGGATTTAACTTACTGATTAATTTATAAATTACAACCAAACAACAAAGTAATGGTCTACACATCCTGCAAATCATAAAACACCAAACAAATAAAAGCGGTTACTTCCTTTCTTAAAAAGATCATTAACATTTATCTTGGTGACATTGAAATGAATAGTGGGCACAAAAAACAAAAAGGAAACAAAAAGAATATTGTTACACTTTTCTGATGAAATCTCAGAATTAAAGGGACTCTCCAGTGTCAGGAAAACAAACCGTTTTTCCTGGCACTGCAGGTGCCTTCTCCCTCCCACCCCCCATCCCATGTTACTGAAGGGGTTAAAACCCCTTCAGTGTCTTACCTGTATCCAGCGCCGATGTCCCTCGGCGCTGGGTCAGGCTCCGCCTATGCTCCTCCCCCCCGCCGATGTCAGCCGGCAGGGGAGACCTATTGCGCATTCATGGCTGCCGGCCGTGGGGGAGACCTAATGCATTAGACCTCCCCATAGGAAAGCATGAGTAATACTTTCAAGTCTTTCCTATGGGGATTTGGCGACGCTGGAGATCCTCACATAGCGTGAGGACGTCCAGCGTCGTTATAACACACTTTTCATGTTCTATGAACATGGAAGTGCCCTCTAGTGGCTGTCTAGTAGACAGCCACTAGAGGAGGAGTTAACCCTGCAAGGTAAATATTGCAGTTTATGAAAACTGCAATAATTACACTTGCAGGGTTAAGGGTAGTGGAAGTTGGCACCCAAAACACTCCAATGGGCAGAAGTGGTCTGGGTGCCTGGAGTGTCCCTTTAAGTCCTATTCCACACTGATAGCTAATAAAAAAAAAAAATTTATGTAAGCAGACAGTATCTGAAGTTATACACAAAAAGGGAATCTACAAAAATAGAATGAAAATGCAAACATAAGGTAATATTGGACTTAACCCTGCAATATAAACATTAAAGGGACACCATAGTCACCAGACCCACAACAGCTTAATGTAGTGATTCTGGTGTCTAAAGCATGTCCCTGCTAGAGAAAAGGCAGTCTTTACATTGCTCCTGAGTAACACCTCTAGTGGCAGTCACTCAGACAGCCACTAGAGGTGCTTACTAGTCCCGTGCTGCACAGGGATTCAATCTATCTCTGTGAGGAGATGCTTATTGGCGCAGTGCTGCGTTTTGCGCAATAGCCTGCCAATGCTTTTCTATGAGTAAGTAAAGACACCTTTTTACTCCACAGAGAGGGGGCCGCGGTCCAAACATGTATTCCAGAACTATAGTGTTAGGAATACACGTTTTATTCCTATAGAGTTCCTTTAAAGCAGGGGTTCCCAACCCAGTCGTCAAGTACACCCTACCAGTCCAGGATTTAGGGACTACCCTGTTGTGTCTAAAGTGGTTTTTTTCTTTCTTTCTAAAGACAACTTAGACACAACTGAGTAATCCCTAAATACTGTACTGTTAGGGTGTACTTGAGGACTAGGTTGGGAACCACTGCTTTAAAGTGATTACTAATCTGAAACAAATTGTAAAATGTTGGCAGACAGGACTGGGATGTCAAGGGTGAGATGATTTACAAAGTGTTGTAAAAGTGTATATAGTACTAAATGTGCTATAAGTAAACAGAAATCAGTCATAGCGGAGTGGATAAGCTATCTCTGAGCTACTGATTTCATCTGCCTAAAGAGGAACTGTTGTGTCCTTCATTTTAACACAGTCCTAATAGCCAACTATTAATAGTTAAAAATTAACTATCAGTTGCATATCTCCTAAGTGTCCCTATTTAGGAGGGACAGTCACTGTTTATGGCCCAAATCCATCTTGTAGCTCTTTTCTGTCCTAACGTCCCTCTTTTCTAGGAGCGATATATTTGAGTGCATAACAGAACTCCACAACAATACGACTCACAGTAACATGACGTTAATCTACCATAAATGTGATTATAAATCAGTCTGAGTCAATAATATCAGTGGTGTACTAAGGTGGGGAGGACTGCCCTGGGTGACAGGCGGCAGGGGGCACCTTGGTTACGGGTGTGCAGTACAACAGGTGTCTGCTCTGCAGTCATGCTGTGAGTGCTTGCAGTGCTGGCAATGAGGGGGCTGCTGGTTTTGCAGTTCCTCTCATGCACTGTATTGTTGCTCAAGCTAGGTTATGACATCATCTCAACCCCAGTAACAGTACAGTGCAGCAGGAAACTGGGAAATCATTGCGCAGAGGCTGATTTTGATTCCATCGCCACCCCACTCTGATAAAGATACATAGTTCTTGTTCTAAATGGAATTTTAGTTGCATACACTGTTATTAGTAAGTCACCTTAAAAATTCTCTGAACAACCCTGCGCCTGGCTGTGCCCACACACCTATAATTAGTGTCCCTATTTGTCCATTGAAATGCTGGGAGATATGTAGTTGTGCTAAAACTGCTCTACAATTCTTCATAGATTAATTTTATTTTCATTTACAAGCTTTGCAGAGCAAGTATGTAAATGAATTGTCTTATGGACAAAGCATAAATGCATATAGCACTGCTGGGGAAAATGTAAAGCCCACATGTATGCATACAGCACTTCTTCGTTAGATGCCTGAGTGACCATGAGGCACCATGTAAAAGTGAATCTATGCAATACTTTAGTGCAGTGGAGGCAAGTATTTTTACCTCCACATGAACTGGTGATAAACACTATATATTTTCAGCTCAAGCAGATTTGGGAAACAGAGATATAGAAAAACTGTAGTACATGATTTCCATAACACAAAAATCTGAGAGAGAGATGCCAATATAGCGTTAAAACATTAATATACAACCATGTGTTTTTATATATCTTAATTATTTCATAACTAATTATGTTCCCGAATTGTAAATTAATAATGGAATTTAACAAACTCCTTGTCCCAGAGTGCATTAAATGCAATAATGGGTGGCACATCTGCTTATAAATGATTAGTTACGGTTTTGTCTCACTCACTCAAGTAAGTACATTGGGTCATACTAATAATTGACTCACCCAAGGTCCACTGCATGGCGCTGTTTGCAAGCATTTTTCACCTGCTGATTAAATTGGGATTTGTATTGAATGGACGATTCTGGTGTATAACACTGTGAAATGAAATGGGAAACAAACAGGCACAATAAAATATGAAAATTAATAAGACCTACACATTAAGGTGGAAGCTTATGAAAACAAGTGATACTGTTGAGGAAGGATATGTGAAAAATTAAATAGAACAAAGAAAAAAAAAATAATGCATGGTACTTAACAGATGCTTCTAAGTATTAGGTTATATTGCTTTGTCTGCGTACAGGATTCAGCCAGGTGTGACAATCCAAATACACAGACTACAAAGTAAATAATTGAAAACCTGATTACATTTTAACTTTTAGTCATTGTAAGAGGAAGCCAAGCTCTACTGATAGCAAGGCATACACTGATCCTGCGCTTACACTAGGATAGGGGGACATATTTATATCAAAGCTAAAACATTCTGGGGCAAAGTGCCAATTAAGGAGCAATCACTGTAGAAACCAATAAAATGTCTCAGCAGGCAGTGTTCTGTCCAAGAAGGAAACTTATTTGGCTATGAAAATGTGGCCACATTAGTGGTAAATGATTTCGCACAAATGATCATCACCTGTAGCTAAAATGATGCAAAGCACTTGTTTTCCACAATGTATTGTATTTCTTTGTTTTTTTTTAATATTGTCATATTGGATAGTTCTCAATCCTCCCAAAAGCTGATTGCCAGTTCATTTAAATGGCGAATTGACTCAGTCAGTTTTCTACATGTGTACGTTCATAAATCATAAAATGTGAATTAGCAAATAAGCATTTTGCACAGAACCAGGACTATATTTTGATTTTCCGTGACATCACCAAAAGATTGGCTAATTCACCAAATTTGGCATTCTTGGTTTGTAATGAAAGGTGTACACAGTTTGCCCAAGCATTAGGCAATGTAACTTCTTAATTCAAATCCACTGGCACATGTGGCATATAATATGGGTGTGGAGGGGATGCAGCAATTGCCCACTTGTCCCCATTGATGGCTTCTAACATGGAAGCTTTACTCTGAATGGTTTATATTATTACTCATACAGCAGGGTAACTAACATACTGTATGAGTTAACAGAATCAGAGGTCACTGTCAGCAGCTGGTTAATACCTATAACCCACAATGCAGTCTCTCCATGACCCCAGCCCTGCCAGTACCCAGGCTGTGTGACAGTGTGTGTCTAATACACCCAGTGCCAGGCTGTGTGATAGTGTGTGTATAATACACCCAGTGCCAGGCTGTGTGACAGTGTGTGTGTCTATAATACACCCAGTGCCAGGCTGTGTGATAGTGTGTGTATAATACACCCAGTGCCAGGCTGTGTGACAGTGTGTGTATAATACACCCAGTGCCAGCCTGTGTGAGATAGTGTGTGTGTATAATACACCCAGTGCCAGGCTGTGTGATAGTGTGTGTATAATACACCCAGTGCCAGGCTGTGTACCAGTGTGTGTATAATACACCCAGTGCCAGGCTGTGTGACAGTGTGTGTATAATACACCCAGTGCCAGGCTGTGTGACAGTGTGTGTATAATACACCCAGTGCCAGGCTGTGTGATAGTGTGTGTATAATACACCCAGTGCCAGGCTGTTTGATAGTGTGTGTGTATAATACACCCAGTGCCAGGCTGTGTGATATTGTGTGTATAATACACCCAGTGCCAGGCTGTGTGACAGTGTGTGTATAATACACCCAGTGCCAGGCTGTGTGAGATAGTGTGTGTATAATACACCCAGTGCCAGGCTGTGTGATAGTGTGTGTATAATACACCCAGTGCCAGGCTGTGTGACAGTGTGTGTGTATAATACACCCAGTGCCAGGCTGTGTGATAGTGTGTGTATAATACACCCAGTGCCAGGCTGTGAGATAGTGTGTGTATAATACACCCAGTGCCAGGCTGTGTGACAGTGTGTGTATAATACACCCAGTGCCAGGCTGTGTGATAGTGTGTGTATAATACACCCAGTGCCAGGCTGTGTGACAGTGTGTGTATAATACACCCAGTGCCAGGCTGTGTGACAGTGTGTGTGTATAATACACCCAGTGCCAGGCTGTGACAGTGTGTGTATAATACACCCAGTGCCAGGCTGTGTGACAGTGTGTGTGTATAATACACCCAGTGCCAGGCTGTGTGATAGTGTGTGTATAATACACCCAGTGCCAGGCTGTGTGATAGTGTGTGTATAATACACCCAGTGCCAGGCTGTGTGATAGTGTGTGTGTATAATACACCCAGTGCCAGGCTGTGTGATAGTGTGTGTATAATACACCCAGTGCCAGGCTGTGTGACAGTGTGTGTATAATACACCCAGTGCCAGGCTGTGTGAGATAGTGTGTGTATAATACACCCAGTGCCAGGCTGTGTGATAGTGTGTGTATAATACACCCAGTGCCAGGCTGTGTGACAGTGTGTGTGTATAATACACCCAGTGCCAGGCTGTGTGATAGTGTGTGTGTATAATACACCCAGTGCCAGGCTGTGAGATAGTGTGTGTATAATACACCCAGTGCCAGGCTGTGTGACAGTGTGTGTATAATACACCCAGTGCCAGGCTGTGAGATAGTGTGTGTATAATACACCCAGTGCCAGGCTGTGACAGTGTGTGTATAATACACCCAGTGCCAGGCTGTGTGAGATAGTGTGTGTATAATACACCCAGTGCCAGGCTGTGTGAGATAGTGTGTGTATAATACACCCAGTGCCAGGCTGTGACAGTGTGTGTATAATACACCCAGTGCCAGGCTGTGTGACAGTGTGTGTATAATACACCCAGTGCCAGGCTGTGAGATAGTGTGTGTATAATACACCCAGTGCCAGGCTGTGTGACAGTGTGTGTATAATACACCCAGTGCCAGGCTGTGTGAGATAGTGTGTGTATAATACACCCAGTGCCAGGCTGTGTGATAGTGTGTGTATAATACACCCAGTGCCAGGCTGTGTGACAGTGTGTGTGTATAATACACCCAGTGCCAGGCTGTGTGATAGTGTGTGTGTATAATACACCCAGTGCCAGGCTGTGAGATAGTGTGTGTATAATACACCCAGTGCCAGGCTGTGTGACAGTGTGTGTATAATACACCCAGTGCCAGGCTGTGTGACAGTGTGTGTGTATAATACACCCAGTGCCAGGCTGTGTGACAGTGTGTGTGTAATACACCCAGTGCCAGGCTGTGACAGTGTGTGTATAATACACCCAGTGCCAGGCTGTGTGACAGTGTGTGTGTATAATACACCCAGTGCCAGGCTGTGTGATAGTGTGTGTATAATACACCCAGTGCCAGGCTGTGTGATAGTGTGTGTATAATACACCCAGTGCCAGGCTGTGTGTGACAGTGTGTGTATAATACACCCAGTGCCAGGCTGTGTGACAGTGTGTGTATAATACACCCAGTGCCAGGCTGTGTGATAGTGTGTGTGTATAATACACCCAGTGCCAGGCTGTGTGACAGTGTGTGTATAATACACCCAGTGCCAGGCTGTGATGAGGCTGGTCACCATGACTGACCTGTGGCATCTTGGAGATCACTCTGTCTTTGGTTACATGGAGTCCCTGCTGGCCCAGCATTGTGGCCATCCTGCTCACACGGGCTGCTCCGGGGGCTCTGTATGGGGACCAGGGACATTAATCAGGACAGGGCGATGGAGGAGAAGGGGTGAGCCGACCCCGGGATGCGGTAAGTGTCCTGGAGGCAGTCCGGTGCACAGAGCTCACACGGGCTGATGGAAGGAGAGGACGGATGAAACGTCTGCTGTTACCGGCTCGCTATCCCGGTACTGACACAGCGCTGCCCGTTACACTGTCACCATGGCAACGAGTCAGCACGCCGAGGGCGGAGCTATTTGCGAGGTCAGGCAGGGAAAGCAAGAGGGGGCGGTCCGAACGTGGGCGTGGTTATCGCGGAGGGGGCGTGTCCCAAGGAGCGTGACCACCAGAGAGCGTTATAACAGGGTGCTAGGGATTCAGTCTGCCTCTAGGACAGCGTTAAACAGGGCCAGGGATTCAGTCTGCCTCTAGGACAGCGTTAAACAGGGCCAGGGATTCAGTCTGCCTCTAGGACAGCGTTAAACAGGGCCAGGGATTCAGTCTGCCTCTAGGACAGCGTTAAACATGGCCAGGGATTCAGTCTGCCTCTAGGACAGCGTTAAACAGGGTCAGGGATTCAGTCTGCCTCTAGGACAAAAAGGTAGATCCCCATCTATTGCACAACTCTCACACTGCATTGCCAGCTGGGGATGTTTTCCCATCCTTGCATGGTTGTATTTAACACTGAGCAGTGTTTGTTGAATGTAAACAAGTTTTTGTATAGAGTATATGTGCTCTCTCCTGGTGCTCCTCCTACCTCTCCCAGTGTTTCATTCTCTGGTTCGCAGCCTAGGTGTTCTTTGACTGACCTCTCCACCCCTCATGTCCAGTCATTTGCCAAATCCGGCTACTTGCATCTCAAAAACATAGCGGCATCTGCCCCTATTTTAAGGGACACTCCAGGCACCCAGACCATTTCTGCCTATTGGAGTGGTCTGGGTGCCAACTCCCACTACCTTTAACCCTGCAACTGTAAATATTGCAGTTTTCATAAACTGCAATATTTACCTTGCTGGGTTAACTCCTTTAGTGGCTGACTACTAGACAGCCACTAGAGGGCTCTTCCTGATATTTGTGCTATAGCGTCGCTGGATGTCCTCACACTATGTAATAATTTTCAATGCTTTTCTATGGGGATGTCGAATGCACGTGCGCAGCATTGCCGCGCATTAGGTCTCATCCCGCTGGCAGCCACACATGCACAATCGGTCTCCCCTACCAGCTGACGTCGGCGGGGGAGTTTCGTGGGCGGACCTGAAACCACTGCCGAGGGACATTGGCGGTGGTCTCAGGTAAGTCACTGAAGGGGTTTTCACCCCTTCAGCAACATGGGATGTGGGGTGGGAGGGAGAGGGGACCTGCAGTGCCAAGAAAACGATTTGTTTTGGGGTGTCCCTTTGATGCCGGATACGGCTATGGTGCTGGTCCAAGCTGTTCTCTCTCGACTTTACTACTGCAATCCCTTTCTCAGTGGTCTTACATGTTCCCAGCTTGCAATCTAGAATGAATGCAGCAGCGAGGCTCATCTTCCTGTCCGCCCTCACCTGCCACGCCTCCCCCTCTGTCAGTCCCTACATTGGCTTCCCGTAAGATATAGGGCAAAATGTATGATTCTGGTGCTTGCTTACAAATCTCTACATAATACTGCTCCAGCCTACCTATGCTCCCTAATACTCAAGTATGTCCCGTCTAGGCCTCCATACTCCCACCTCACCTTCAAGACTTCTCCAGGACTGCACTTTTTGTGTGGAACTCCCTTCTATTCTCCGTTAGACTTTCACACTGTCTCCATTCCTAAAAAAAAAAAAATTAATTGAAAACTCACTTCTATAGTAAAAAGTGTTTCAATTAAACTGTTAACAGCTTTTCATCCCCACACCTTGGCTCCTTTCCTACAACTGTCAAAAATAACCTAATAAGCCCTCATTGAATACTTTTCTAGCAATCTACTTTGATACTCTTACTTTTACCTTTACTATACCCCACTCCCTCTAGCATGTAAGCGAGGACAGCGCGTCCATAAGGCGGCACAAGCGTGCATTATGGCGCACCGCCCCGGGGGGCGCTAGATTGCAGTTATTGGCAGGAACGAAGGGCATATCGTCCCTCCTGCCAGTCACTCAGTGTAGAGTAGACGAGTGGAGCAGACTGTGGTACAGGAGCTTCTGTTACCGGTACCCGGCCGGACTGACAGTAAGTGCTCACTGAGAGGAAACTGAAGCTCCTGAACTGCGGTCTGCTCGGCTTAGCGTTATCTGGGAGGAAGTGACCGACTCACTTCCCCCCCATACCTCTGAGATTATAGGGGCCCAGTCACGCTATTAAACGGCCACATTGCTGACCAGGCCCATGAGACCATGTTTTCCATCTGATGGCCCTAACTGCATGGGCCACCCGAACAGCCCCCTAAATGTTCAGCCCTGGTGCAGCTGCGCCAAATGCAGTTGAGCCACTGGTAGGGATTCATTCTGCCTCTAGTAGAGCATTATAACAGACCCCATTTTTTGGAGATCCAGCCTGCATATAGAAGATTCATATAGCAGAGTGATAAGGACTCTTATAATGATACTAGTTATCCAGTCTGTGTCTATTACAGCCATATTACATAGTGAAAGGGATCCAGTCTGTTTCTAGGATAGCCATATTGCATAGTGATAGGGATCCAGTCTGTGTCTATTACAGCCATATTACATGGTGATAGGGATCCAGTCTGTGTCTATTACAGCCTTATTGCATAGTGAGAGGGATCCAGTCTGTGTCTATTACAGCCATATTACATAGTGATAGGGATCCAGTCTGTGTCTATGTCAGGGCTTACCTGAGTTGGGAGTCCAGCAGGCAGAGATATATGCTCACCCTTGCAAGTAAACACAGGCCAAGATGGTCAGGTAAGAATTCACCTGGCCTGTGAGTCGGTGCACGGGGGCTGTGCAGGATAATACTCCAAGTCACAGTACAGAAACGGATAAAGCAGGAGAATCGTCGTGGGTAAGCCAGAGGATGCCAGAAATCAGAATAAATGAAACAAGCCAAGGTCAAGAGTAAACTGAAGAACACGAAACAGCAGTATGATCACCAGAGTCAAGGAACTGACCCTGCCTTCTGGGAGAGGCAGTGTTTTATACCTGGCTAACGAGACCGTCAACATCAGGTGTACCAGGAGAAACTTCAATGCATGTCCAGCCCCCAGTACTGGATACAAGACAGAGCTGGATACTGGCATTCCTAAAGCTGAATGATGGCTCAGAGGTAACATAGCAGCCCTAGTGGCGAAAAAAAACAAAAAACAAACAACTACAGCCCAAGAGGTCACCTTTTTCGATGTCTTCGTCCTGGCGTTGCCAGCAGGAGCAGAGGACATAGCTTGAGAGGTCTTGATGGCTAGCAGTGCCCTTTCAAATTAATGCAAATGTTCCGAAACCACTAGAGTCCCATCAGATACACAAGGGTAGCCAGGAGGAGGATCTTTCACAGAAGGGCAGTTTTATACACCCAACACACTGCAGAAATCACAACCCGCCACGTGCACGATACTCTCATCTTAAGCATCCCATAGGCTCACACAGATCTACACATGCTCTAAGCCCCACTCTAAACATTACACAAGCCCCTGAAGGAGCGAAACAATAGTGCATTAGAGCCTGTAACCCTGCAGTCAGCGCACACCTTAGCACGCTACACATAACCTGTCTGCCTAGCATTGTTCCTCTTAATAGTACCAGCCTGTCAACCAGAAGTACCTTTTCATAATAACACAGTCTTACCAGCTACACATTGCCAAAGCCATACTAAAGGCATCTATCCATCACTATAACATTTCTGCTTTGCTAGTCCCGCCTAAAAATGAAGCCGTGATTTTCTTGGACCCAAATTAACTACAAAAATAAAGAATAAAAAACAAAAAAAGAAAGTAAGATCATGGAGGAATACATAAACAAATCCTTATCTAAATGTCACATACGAAGATCTTCTTCTCCAGCGGGTGCTGGTTTCTTCTCTGTGTCTAAGAAAGAAGGAGATATGCGTCCTTGTATCGACTATAGGGCATTAAATGAGATCACTGTGAAAAATGCCTATCCTATACCGCTCATTTCTAAATTATTTGATAGACTCCAAGGTGCTAAGGTATTTACCAAACTCGACCTCAGGAGCGCTTATAATTTGGTGAGAATAAAAGAGGAACATGAGGGGAAAATGTTCACTACAAGTACTTGGTTATGCCCTTTGGCTTATGTAATGCCCCAGCTGTGTTTCAGGATCTTATTAATGACATACTTAGAGAGTACATATATTCTTTTGTATTGGTGTATCTCGATGACATACTCATTTATTCTCCTGATCTATTTACTCACCATGGGCATGTTAGACAAGTGTTACAAACCTTACTCGAGAATGGGTTATACTGTAAACTTGGCGGCGGCAAGGAAGGCTCTTCTTGCAGCTCCCCACTCCTCACTCACACGCCGGCTGCGATGACGGGAGACGGAATATGATGTTATTCTGGCCCCGGCATACTAAAAAGTGCACTGGAGTAGTAGTCACAAGCACCAGGGGCCGTGACAGTACCCCCCACTCGAAGACCGCCCACCGGAAACCTGGCATGGAAAGACCGGAGCAGACGACCAGCATGAACGTCAACAGCAGGAACCTAAGACCGTTCCCATATCCCTTCCAGTCAACCAAATATTGTAAATAACCACGAGACAACCTGGAATCAACAGTAGAGCAGATTTCGTACTCTTCCTGACCACTAACAACCAAAGGTGGCGGAGGAACCAAGGGAGTAGAGTACCTGTTACAGATACAAAGGTTTAAGCTAAGAGACGTGGAAAGTATTGGGTATACAAAGAGTAGCAGGAAGTCCCAGGGAGTAAGAAACGGGATTGATTCTGCGAATAACACGTAAAGGACCGATGTATTTAGGTGCAAACTTCATAGAGGGAACCATCAACTTTATAAGACACGAGGAAAGCCAGACCCTGTCACCAATCTGGTACACAGGATTGGCCCACACGCCGTCTGTCAGCCTGATGTTTAAAAAGGGGCATAAGAAATTTGTAAGGCAGCATGCACCTGAGTCCAAGTATTACAAATAATATTCAAATGAATGTCCAAGATCGAAATAGCAGTATCGGAGAATGCAGCAGGTAAAATAGTAGGATGACGACCGTTCATTACAAAGACCTGAAGAATCATGAGTTGTGTTATTTCTAGTGAACTCAGCCCATGGTAATAAATCATACCAGTTTTCTTGAGTGCTATTGATAAAACATAGTGAATACTGTTCTAGGGAGTGGTTACGCACTGTTGGTCTGCAGATGATAGGACAAGGAAAATGACAACTCTATACCCAAGTGTTTACTGAAAGCTCTCCAAAACCGAGACACAAATTGTGATCCCCTGTCAGACACAATATTCTGTGGAATACAGTGTAACCTGAATATTTTCTAAATGAATATGTGTACAAGTTCTTGAAAGGTAGGCAGCTTCTTGAGTGGAATGAAATGTGCCATCTTCGTCAGTGCATGCCGTAACATAGTCTTTTATGTCTTTCCTAAGAGAATTCCACCAAAAGGTTCTGGAGACAGCGGACACTGTTCTGCGGATACCTGGATGCCCTACTGTTACGTTATCATGAAACACCTGTAATATTTCTTTGCTGAACTGGGATAAACAATTTGCCTGAGCTTGAGCTGTCACTATGGCGCTAGATAACAAAAGAACAGTAGACGATAACGAAAGAACAGTAGAGGCAATAATGCAATCAGGAGGTT